AAATTAAAATATTTGTTATTACAAATTATAATAACATTAATAAATATTATCATATTATTTAACACTTGTACAACAATAATAACAATAACAACAACAATAATAATACTAATAATTTTTAATAATTCATCAAAATCTCTACTTACCAGGAGAGATTTATCATGGACCGAATTGATCAACCACACAAGGCACAGAATAAACTAACGAAATAGAACTAACTAATAAAAACAACAAGAAAGAGCAAACTACTAAACGAAACTAATTAAGCAAGAAAAAGGAACGAATAAACTAAACGGAATGAATAAAGCGAGAAAAAAGATAATCAAAATAAAAGCAAACCTAAGTAAGTACTAATGTAAGCACGACCCAATATCCTTCTAGCATCGAACCATCATCTACGAAGGCACCACTTTGGTCGACACTTTGAAGAGCTCTTCTCCTTCCCCAAATGTCACAAACTTGAAGCTTTATACTTAAATCCGAATTTTGAAACTGAACCCCATGAAACATGCAATGAAATTGCATTTTATGAAATATTAGACTAAAAGAGAAAACATTTCTATCAAGCATAACTTTCAATAAAAAAAATTAATCTTAAATGATCAATTATTCATTAAAATATAATTTTGCTTGGTGTCTTACAAAGCACCTTAAGACACCTATTTATAGGAATGAGTGAAGGGGAACATGGACTAATTTTGCAATGTGTGATGGATTTTCTATAACTCAACTTCCAATCACTACCAAAAAAACTGTTTTCTATTACGGCCGGAAAATCGTAACAAAAAGCCATATTTCGTGCAATTTGCGTATTTGCTACGCCTTTGTTACGACTTTTTTCCGTAATGTGTACTCGCGTAACGAATGTTTTTTGCCACGCCACTTTTCGTAACTATTACGATCGGTCAACGCTCCCTGAAGTATGGTATTTGTTACGATGTTTGTTACGAATTTTCTCTCGTAACGAAAGGTAGATCCTTCAGCGCGTGTGGCAGGACTTTTAGTTACGGTATTTGTTACGGAAGTTCCTCGCGTTACAAGTGTTTTCCATTGACCGGTTGTCAGAACTTGGTTTTTGTTACGACTATTTGTAACGGCATTGAACCCCGTAAAAAAAATATTACCTACTTATAGTCACGAAACCGTCTGTAACAACAAATATCCAAAGACCACTTTTTGTAACGATTTTCTGGCCTTTTGTTACGGAAAAATAGCGTATTGTGAAAAACAGGGGGTACGCTGCAATTGAAATTGTTCGTAACAAATGGACCTGCTGTGATGCGTATGATACGAAAATAAATTACGAATACAAAGATTGCTATAAACATCATCATCATTACGCCCCGCGCAAACATTAATTCATATTAAAATCTGAATTCCATACCTACCAACAAAGTAAAGCAACCCATAGAACAAGCCTACTAGTATCTACACATCAACAACCTGTTCCGCAAAACGTGCTTAACAGTTCAAACAGAAGTAAACAACGCAATTAGGCACATTTTTCACCATACGAATTCAAACCACAAAGGTCTACGCATCAATTCCAGACATAGTTCAACAAAAAATCAACACAATCCATCCAAAGACAGGTTCGACATTCAATCCATATGACAAACGGGGCAATTAACATGGGTGTATCGGTACCAACATTTCAAGCCCGGCGCATGAGCTGCAATTGCCAACACAGAGATTACTTTAAGTCATACTTCTTATAAATTTCGGAAGGCAATACAAGAAAGGTATTAAAGTAGATCCTTACGTCGTTGTAGCTCCACTCAATAGGATCTTCGCCGACGACATCGCGAAGGGTAGTCGCCCCAGAAATGGTCGGCAAAATAAGGGGTGTGTCCGGGACTGACGCGGATGTCACGAAGACCTTGACCAAGGAAAGTGTGTCACCTACAGCATTCACAAGAGCAATTTTTGATTACATTCAAGCATATATATCAACAGACGTTCGAACTGTATATATAACATGTCATAACACAGACATTATAAGTGTAATACTTTGGAACTAGAACAAGAGGAGTACGTACATTCAGACATGTCGTACAGTACATGGTATTACATTCATGAGTTAGGTAGCGAAGCACATTATACCCTAATTTCCTATGTAATTGCAGCTTGATCTTTAAACCAAACATCCTTCAATAAACATGGGTCGTCATAATAGCAGTTATTTTACCACCCCTACATTAACAGTCTACATCGCTTTGGAAATCCACGGATCGTATCATTGTATACTTCTACACTTAGTGAATCCATGCTAATACGCAATATGAGGCCTGAACAGTCACGAAAACCTACGATATCTCGCTGAGGCATATTAAAAGTTTAATTAAACATCCTCAAAGATACCGGACCAACCTGGCCCAGGGGGGCAGAGCAGAAGTCCCTCTGCAACAACTTTTTTCTCACCGGTGCGGGATAATAGAAGCACATGTGTGCCGACCTACAACAGACAGGGCATATGAGTTGGATAAGGTAGTACGCAGTCAAGAGTAGCCTAAATTAGACACTGCACTGATTTCTAAGAAACTCCAGGGCGTCACGGAATCATACCGTCATGCTTGGCTCGGACACAGGCCTGGGAATCTCAGGGACTGAATCAATACGAGATGTGCCCTATCATATAACATGCCGAGGATGGTAAATTCCTTCGCCATCCAAATCTCATGGGATACTCATACCAAACAGGTCAGGGATTATGAATACTTACTGCCTGGCCAGTAACCGCTCCGGAGTTTCTGTGCATGAATGCATACACATCAGCCTTGATGGTTTTGAACTCATCCATCATTGCCTTCAGCTCCTCCATTCCATTCTGTAGTTGTTCCCACCCATGCTGGAATGCTACACTGTCTGTTAAACCAGTTGACTCGCTGCGGGGATGAGCTGAACTTGCCGCACTGTCGACCTTTGACCGCTTCTTAATCTTTCCCCCAAGGGCCCGTCGGTACAGAGTCTCCCGAACAGAGGGAGTCCGCCCTTCAGGGGGAACCTTGTTTAGCTCATTCTGTAAATAAGTCTACAGGAAAGATTTAAGTGAGGCCGAACTTGCTCTTGTTGTTAGAGATGTAAATACTGACTGAATTGTAACTAAGTTGGGAACGAATTTATTCTACCAATATCTCCTCGGTTTCTTGGTCATCCTTTCCCTTGCCTTGTGTGCGACTGGAAATCCAAATCTCCAGATTGTCGGGGTCCTTCCCCTTTGCCTTGATCTGCAGCAATACAAGGCCTTCTGTCATCGAAAACATAATGAAATACAGGAGAGGAAAATATGGGGATGGAGCATGACATGACTAATTACTTAATTGTAATAAAAGGTACCTCCTCTGCCAGAGTCGTGAATGACTTCCGCCCAGTACGATGTGGAAAGCTTCTTTTCGCTACGTTCGACGCATTTTTCTTGGATTGAAGCTACGTCAATCAAAGTTATTTAGTTCTCAGTCCATGCCCGTGCAGATTTAACGTATATTAATTTGGCATGTCCCTATGCGTACCTTCACCTTCTCGTCGCGCCAATACTCAACCAACTTCGGCCACTGATCGGGCACAATCCTGCTTGAGGGAACCTTCTTCAGTGCTTCTTCATCGTCCTCGATCGGATTGAAGTAAGTTGATTTGATGCTGTATTTCCAGTGCCTCCAAACTTCCCTTAGGTCAGCCAAGACCACTTTCTCCGCTGAGTCTGGTAATCCGCTGTTACTCTGGAATGCCGTTTCACACGGTTTCCACCAGGTCCGGAGAAGATGGTAGGGCCATATATAAGAATCTATATGAAATAAAAGAACTTTCAATTTAATGAAGTTTGCATCACCTGAACCTCCATCCATGCACCCTGTCTCTTCGTCTCCGGTATCTCAGCGAACGTGGGGTAATGTAGAGGAAGTCGAGCTCCGTTGCGTGCAATGACCCCAATGGCTGTCTTGTACTCGTTTACGTCGGGTCCGACGATGCTTTTACCATCCGGCGATGTGAATACAAGCATCCTGTGATCTTTTCCCCATCCACGCGGCATTCGTGCCGCCCCTCTCCCCTGCTTTTTCTTTGACGAACCAGCTGACACAAACAGGAGATTACATGTTCTAATAAGGATATTACATGCAAAATATGAAGTCACTAAATGTAATCGGTAATCTTTGAAGGCTAATTTCCAAACCGTCGTGCGATGTCATCTCGTCCAATGGTGCCATATTGCCCGCCTCTGTTCCTGTCATCAGAGTGGGGTCGGAGCCTGGCCCTTCATCCAAGAGTGGCATATCACTCTCTGCAGTCTCCATGTCCTGCGTCGGCGGAAGTGTCTCGTCATCTGCTTGTGTGGGGGGGATTGTATCATCGTCATCCTGTGTCAGTGCCGTCGGATCAAAAAGTGATGGAACATCCCTATCATCATGTTCCTGTTGGGGTTAACAGTGTCAGCCTATTGTAGTGTTATACTGAGAGTTCAAATAAGGACATGCTTTCGGCAAAGGAACCACATTACCTCCAAAGGGCCCTCTGAATCCTGAAGCACTGCCCTTCGAGTGGAAGATGTTGGCTTCATGCTTTGACCACGAGCATCGCGCTCTTTCTCCCACTCTGATGTGATGGACCGGAGTCGCTGGAGCAGTGGCGAGACCCGAGATCCCTTCCGTTTTGTCACTTTCTTTGTGGGATTGCGGATGGGCGATGGATTCCTGCTTGCGGGATGAGTTGCCTCTAGGGGGCTGTTACGTGCGGATGCCCGGGTAAAACGTCTTGCGGGAGAGACTGCCGGATCCTGTGACCCTCCAACGGCAGCACGTTGAGATTTGCCCATAACCTGCAAGACACCAGTGTTAGTTGGCAGTATGAAAACGTATATTAGGAGAAAATCAAAACACACTTATCACAACAAAGCTTATGAAGTGACATATTACGAGAAATTCACATAATAGTTACTGCAATTAATCAGGGTATACCGTCGGGCAGCAATAGGTAGAATTCGTTGCATAAGAACATGGCAATCGTGGCTCTTAAGTCCCCATATTAGTTGTTGTTCTACCTTCACACGACGCGATAAGTTTGAACTGAACCCATGAGGTGGTCGGAGGTCCTTCAACACAGATAGGAATATCCGTTTTTCGGGGTTACTCATGGTGTACGTAGCTGCCGGCAAATATATAGCGCCCCTAGGACCCGATACCGGGTGTAAAGAACTACGTATTTGCATCAACTGTAAGTCTTTCCTCGTGTTCAGATTGTCCTTTGTTTTCCCCTTAGTTCCCAACAATGTATACAGTACATTCTCACACACATTCTTTTCAATGTGCATCAAGTCGAGGTTGTGACGTACCTCATTCTCAGACCAATAAGGGAGCTGAAAGAATATGCTCTTTTTTTTCCACACCTGTTGCTGCCCGTCCACCCCCCGGCGACGCTTGCGAGACCCCTGTGCAATGCGTTTCTCAATCAAGTCAACCGTACGATACTCAGTAGGCATATCCTGAAGCTGCTGCAGAAGTTCAGCGCCGGTCAAGCGAGAAGGCTTTCCGTCAAAGCTCATCGAACCGTCAAATGCATGTTTATCAAAGCGCATTCTATGCCCAGCCGGCAGGAACCGTCGATGCCCGCAATAGCTATACTTATGTCCATTTTTCAGGTATCTGGAATGAGTTTTTAAACCACAAACAGGGCATGCATTCGCCCCACGAGTCGGCCACCCTGACAACATACCGTAACCGGGAAAATCACTAATAGTCCACAGCAATGCAGCTCGCATCTGGAAATCCTCCTTAGTACTCGCATCGTACGTCCGAACACCATCATACCAAAGCTCCTTAAGCTCATCGATCAAAGGTTGAAGGAAGACATCAATCTGATCCCCCGGGCCATGCGGGCCGTCTATAATCGTAGAGAGGATGAACGATGGTTGCTTCATGCACAGCCACGGAGGTAGGTTATATATCACAAGTACGACGGGCCAAATACTATAACTCACACTCATATTCCCAAAAGGGTTGAAACCGTCAGTGGCCAGACCGAGGCGTACGTTGCGAATCTCCTCAGAGAACGTCGGGTACCGATGATCGAAACTCTTCCACGCAGGACTATCTGCTGGATGACGCATCTTGCCATCGTCTACACGCCCTTCGGCATGCCATCTCATAGAAGATGCAATTTTGGAAGATACGTACCATCGCTGCAATCGCGGAATTAATGGAAAGTACCTTAACTTCTTCACTGGAGATCTATCTTTACCCTGTGTAAATCGCTTTTCCCCACACACAACACAAACCTCACGGTCAACATCTTCCCCGGTAAACAACATGCAATTGTTGATGCACGCATGGATAGTCTTGCATGTGAACCCCAAGTCCTTGGTCAGCTTATTAGCCTCATAGAAGTTCTGCGGAAGGACAACATCGTCTGGAAGTGCATCCCGTAACAGCTCTAACAGCAAATCAATAGAATTATTAGACCAGTGGCACAAAACCTTCAAGTGCAAAAGCCGTGCGATAAACGAGAGTCTACTCATCTTCTTGCACCCTGGTATGAGCTCTTTCTCTACATCTTCTAACATCTTTCTATACCCCTTACTGCCATGATGTATATGTTCATTTTCGTCATCCCTATGAGGTTCATTTCCACTGGGCCCCGGATCGGTGTGCTCTGTATATGCACACTCTCGCAATAGAAGTTCTAGTTCCTCCTCCCAACGCATTGGCATGTTGTCGTTTGCAACAGCAGGGTTCACCTCTCCTTCTCCGTGGCAAGTCCAAACCTTGTAGGTTTGGTCGAATCCATAACGAATACAATGGAGCAAGACATCTCTACGAGATTTTGTTAAGCGATTTCCGCAAGATGTACAGGGGCAATAGATGCAAGATTCAGAGCTACGATCTTTAAATGCGAAATCTAAGAAAGCCCTGACCCCATCCAAATATTGAGCCGAGATATGGTTCGCATCGTCTATCCAACTCCTATCCATCTAAAAAGGCAATATACATGTGATTCCATCAACAAAACATGCATTCAAAATTGTAATGTTTAAGTCTTGATACGGGCTTGCTCCCTCAATTTAAAAGAACAAAGTTATAGCATCAGCTTTAATAAACTGCATTTTTGTACCTATAAGTCCATGTATTGCACTTATAAGTAAAACATAACATTCATCACAACATTAAGGCCCATGGTTTAAAATCAGCCATTATCTCCACTTTAGAACCTTTTATGGATGCCATTTAATGAGAATTAAATGATGTCTACGCTCCGCCAAAAATTCTGAGCGTCATCTCTAGATACTAGAGCAACAAGAATTATCCATACCCTACTTGGGCCAAGAAAAATTTCCTACTATTCTAAATTTTTCCTTGCCCTTTTGTACGAATATGAAAAAAATCCTCAAATCTGATGTCTAAAGAGTAAAGCAGGTTTGTGGGAATGCACATAACACTTAACTACACCACCACTCGAGAAAACATAGAACACTTAGAAGCTTTGCACTGTGGAAATGCATTAAAAAGAAATCCGACCTTCCGTTAAACTCAATGTTGCTTATCCTGAATTCACACTGCACACTTTTGTCTCCACAATTTAGTATCCTGTAAAAAAACACAAGTTAAATATGCACTCATTTTCAGTTAAAATAGCCCAAATGGTGTTGCTTCCGACAAATCGACGCATACAACCAAGTAACAAAAAAAATGGTATTGGTTCCGACAAAGGAGCCAATACTTAGAGTGTAGATATGATATCATATTCATATTATGCAGCATATGTATGTATCATTATCTAACAATATATGCGTCTGAATCTGTATATATTATGCTGTAGAATCCAATGAAACTTATTTAAATATCCACACATAATAACAAAATTCAAAGTTGTTTTGGAAAGAAGCACTCTATATTGGATAGTGTTGCTAGATCATTTTTGTACTTCATTGCAATTATTGCAGAATGAAAAGATAAAATGAGTGAAAGTCTTGGGAGGGTACACCAATAAATAAATAAAGTTCACAAAACCATCAAATCATAAAGTGTATTTATTAACTTTGCTTGTGTGTGCACTTTGGTTTTTTTAAAAAAAAATAAAAAAATCTTGTTGCATCATATAATCTATACTAAAATAATCTGCTTCCCTCTATTTAATTATCACATCCGACACCTATTTTCTATTCAAAACATAATATCCAAAAACCCTTTTTCCATCCGAAAAATTTCAAATCCAAAAAATCCACAACACAAGCACTCTTTCCCAGATATTATGACTGAAATTCAATACAATTACACAAACAGAGAAGTTGTCATATCTTCATGAAAATTGAAACAGAACCATACACCATTGGAATTTCACATATATTTATCATAATGTAGGATGCCCAAATTCCTAAACCAAACAGCACAAAACATCACACTTAACTTAATCGATAAATTCACTTGGCACAATTGTATACAGTAACAATGTAAAAAATTCAAAAGTGCTGCACTTTGCTGGCTAAATGAATTTTCAGTATCTGTGTTACAAACACATCACCAACATGGTGGATCACGCAATACCAGAGTTTGCTTCTAACAAAACATCAGACTTCCAAATATATGACTCAATGTGTAAAAATATACAAAAGCATATTTTAAATCTAACAGAAGGAGCTTCAAAATAAAACCTAGAGGACAATCTACAATGTAAAATACTACAAATCTTTCAAATTTATCGGCCATTGGTTGTTGTGGCTGAACAACCAACCCTAACAACAAGCAATGAACAAATGGGAATGGAAACGCAAAATAGAATAAACAAAATTCACCGACGAGGGCATGGCGAGGAAGGAAAGCAGGACAAGAAGAAATAAGAGAAGGGAGAAGCTAGAAAAACCACCTACCTGATGGATCGATGCCGGAGACGTGTTCCAAAATCCCTCACTTCAACGGGACGCTGCGGCGGGGAGAATTCGACCAGCGACCAAGGTAGATGAGACTGCAAACGGAAGAAACATAAATTAAAAATCGATATGAGAAAAATGTTTTCACATTATCGATTTTTAACCTACAGGGGCGTCGGCGGCTGAGCAAGTTAGAAGAAGAAAAAAGAAGAGGACGAAGAAAGGATAACTTCGCGTTGGAGAAGAAAGGGGGAGGGCGGCGGGTGTGGGTAGGGTTTATGATTTAGTTATAAGTGATGGGAAAAAATGAATGATAATATTATTTTATTTTTACATATTTATATTTATTTTTTTAAAAAAATAATTTAAAATTATATTTAAAATAATGGTATAATATAATATAAATAGATATTGAGTCAATGACGTGATATTTTAAATATAAAATTAATTTTTAGTATATTATTAAAGTAAAAAATATTTATTTGATTTGATATTTTTAGCAAAAAAAAAATATGAATAATAATTTGAAATTTGAAATTTTTTTATAAAAGAACACAATAAATAAAAGAACAAAAAAATAAATTTTCTAAATTTAAATATATCATTTTCTTCAATAAAATATTATTTAAATATCATCTCTTTCAAATTATCACATCAATATATCATTTTTTTCAATAAAATAATAATTTCATCCTACATAATCATTACAAAATTCAAACTCTCAAACAAATTCAACTTAAAAATCCATACTTCAAAATTCTCCAAAATCCAAATCCAAAATCCAATCATCCAACCAAACACACCCTTTGTAAATTTTATAAATATAATTAATTAATAATAAATCTTTATTTATATTTATTTTACATTCAATTTGTTAAAACTAGGAGGAGGGCGGCTGGTAGATAGTGCAATATATTTTTACTTATTTATTATATATTGTAATAAATTTTATATACAATTAATTAATAATAAATTTTTATTTATATTTATTTTACATTCAATTTGTTAAATATTATTTTCAATATTTGAAGTTTGATTATTTTTTTAATTTTTAATTTTTTATTAAAAATTATAAAAAATGCTTTTCTTTGTTACAGAATAAAGTCGTAATTATTGTATTTACGATATTTTTTTGTCATATTTTTAATTGTTAAGAAACATTTATCGTAATAAATAAAAAAAGACGTTGACTAATAAAAATTCCTTTTGTCACGAAAAAATTCATAACAAAAACCATCTTTTATTATGACAATATTGTTACGAATCTTCTTTCCGTAATGAAAGCTATTTTTTTGGTAATCTCGAGATTATGCCCTAATTTGTCGAAGATACCTCGCGTAATACAAAATCTTTTTCGAGCTACCTTCAAAACCTTACCTGGGTGAGGTGCGCCGGAGTAGATCCCAGGGACGGATCGATTTCACCTCGCGCGTCGTCGTCGGCAGCTACAGGAAATCGGATCGCGGGCGACTGTGAGAAGCGAACGAGGGAAATGAACCAGATGCCCTAATTTGTCTAAGTGTGGGATGATATAGCGTTTTTGTCCATTTTGATCGTTTCTGGAATGAAAGCGTCAATCCAGTATTTTACTTTTTTTTTTTTTTAATTTAACTTTTCCAAAAATAAAAAATTAAATACCAGTAGTTACGAACACTTTACGTAACTAATGTTATTTTGACCAAATTCTACCATCTCATTATTTGTTACGATATTTTTTGCGTAACGACAGAACCTAAAACGTTGACCGGGTTTTTTTTTTTTCGTCACGGATTTTGTCGTAACTAATATATCTATTTGTTACGATTTTATTGTTACGGACTCTCAACCCGTGGTGAATAGCCCTTTTTTTGGTAGTGAATGAGAGACACCTACCGTATTGGCACCAATGCATGTGAGATGCATGTGACATTTCCTATTATATATATATCCCAAGAGATGGTCTCCTACTTGTGTATGTGCAATCCAACTTTAATGTAATTACCTATTAAACCCTCTATTTTTAGCATACTCCTAGATTTGTATAATTTTTTTTTGTTAGTTATGCGATTGAGGCATTGCAAGCTCCAACATCGGCATCCTTCGAAAAGTCTTTGGTCATTGCAACATGGGCTTCAATCTGTCCCCAACTTTCAATCTTCGTCATCAAACCTTATAATTTGTCAACACATGGTGTATTTTGGATTCTCGAAGCTAGTCCGACAGAAAGTTTTTGATTGTGTATCTTGATGTTCAAACATCCATGTCAAGATTTCATAATATACAAAATTTTCATAATTTTTTATTAAAATTCAATAAAATTCAGAATTTTATGGATGGTTGAATACCTCAATATTTTAAAGACTCCTTAGGATTTTGAAAAACTTTTAAAAGTTTGAATTGAATACCTCTAAATTTGAGTTTAAAAATTTAAATTAAATACACCTAAATTTTAAAGATCAAACAAAATCCTACATAGTTGTTGCGACACTCCGGCCCCTAAGCCACGCAAAGTCGGGCATCCTTCCAGAGCATTTTTGTCCTTACTTACGCGCACCCGCGCATCCTATGAGACTTCGAGGGGGTCATTCATCCTCAAATTACTCTCCAATTAAGAAGCAACGTACCCGTTGCATCTGGAGAACTCCGAGATATTACATTTTTCCCCACTTAAGAATGCAATGTACCCGTTGCACTATGAGGATCATCAACTGTTAGGCCCATCACCTATCCAGTCAACGAGTGTGGACGATCGTAAGTCGACTCTGATACTAACTGTGACACCTCGGTCCATAAGCAACGCAAAATCGGGCATGTCAGGATTGTAGATTAGCCCTACAAGACAACACGAATTTTTCCAGCGCACTTTATCCTCACCTCACGCTGGGAGACTCAAATTACTTATAGATCAAGCACCAAGGTTGTCACGGCTGTCGCCTAGTCTTTCTAGCGGTGTATCATCACCGCCAGGAAATGTAGCCTCGCCGTTCGGCGAAGCTGGCGTCCGGACGTCTCTTTGGCGACGCCATATATCGACAAGCCCAGGCTTAAGGCCCTATATTCAGCCTAATCTAATTCTTAAACCCATATTAGAGTTTAAATCTATTCTAAATCCACCAAGCCCTAAAGGTGAAACTCAGCCCTAAACCCAGCTTTATTTACCCAACCTTACCTCTGTTAGCTTAGTCCCACCCGATTCTGTTGCCACTGCCATCCGCCTCTGCCTTCCGTCGTTGGGTAAGAACTCCTTAAGTTGTGGGTTTAATTTTGTCGTAGATTAGTATATGATATATATATATATATATATGATATATTTATTATTAATAAAGTAATGAACTAATGCTGCAGAAGAGTTAGCGGAGAGGAGTCAGTGACTAGTGTAGTATTTTATATTATTATTTTTTTCTAGTGCAGAGTGTTAGGTTAGTATATGATATATATATATTATATACATACATTTTTTATTATATATGCTGCAGAATTTAATTGGCTAGTACTTTATATTATTAATTATTTTTCTCTAGTGAAGAGTGTATATATTTAGTGCATAATTTTTTATTATTATTCATGTACTATCCTAGTTAATATTGACCGGCCTTAAATAATAAATATTTAATTGAATGCGCTCTTTGTCATAGAAATATGCATTTTGAGGTCTAGAGGTTAAAGCAATATTTAGTTGGGAATTACGACGATGAGGTTAAATGCCCTAACACCACAGAAGAAAATCGTAAGGAAATACATCAATTTATAAGCAAAAAAGTGATGAATAAAGCATCGCGGGGTACTACCGAATTTGATTATTTTGAGGATAACGAAGACAATAAGGAGTTAGAAGAAACTTAATCTACGGGTGCTACAGATTCACCTTCCAAGCCTTCAGCGGATCCAAGTTCAGGAATAAATAGCAAAAGAAATATAGCTCAATCAAATTTAAAGTTTTCTGAACCTCAGAAAGTTGGAAAACAAAGTAAGTCAATTCTTGCAATTATTCCAAAGACTCCTGAAGAGATTGTTGAAGAAAGACATATGAGCGGTTATATTCAAAAAACCATCGAAGCTTCTACAAAAGGAAAAGAGAAAACAAAAGAAGTGCAAAGGCGTATTGCCGATTTTTTCTATGAAAATGGCATTCCATTCAATGCTTCCAAATCAAGAAGTTACGAGATTATGGTTGAGGCCATCGGACAATATGGTCCCGGTTTGAGACCTACTAGTTATCATCAGTTGTGGGAACCATTTCTTGAGGATTTCGTAAATGTAACAAATAAGTTGAAAGAAAGGCACATGGAAGCTTGAAAGCAATATGGGTGTTCCCTTATGTCAGATGGGTGGACAGACAAAAGAGGACGACACTTACAAAATTTCTTGTCAATAGTCCAGAGGGGCTTTTTTCTTGGAGTCTATTGATGCATCAGCTGAGTCGCATTATGCAAGAATCTTGGCTGACCAGATTGAAAAAAAAGTTGAAGAAATTGGCAAGGAGCATGCTGTGAAAATTGTGACGGATAATGGAGCAAATTATAAAGCGGCAGGAAGATTATTAGAACAACACATTCCTGGTCTTTTTTGGACACCCTGTGCAGCTCATTGTATCGATCTCATGCTAGAAGACATTGGAAAAATGAATGAATTTAAACCCTACATTCAAAAGGTTAGGGATGTCACAACTTTTATTTATCGACATGGGAGAATTCTCAGTGCAATGAGGGAAAAGACCGGTGGCAGAGATCTAGTGAGGCCGGCGACTACCCGATTTGCTACCGCATTTCTCACTTTTCAGAGTTTAAACAAACATAGGAATGAATTGAGGCAGTTATTTGTGAGTGATTATTGGAGCGATAATAAGTTGTCAAAAATGTCAAAAGGAAAAAAAGTGATAAAAACCATTCTTTTATTGAAATTTTGGGATCAGGTAGAAAATTGTTTACGGGCAACATTTCATCTTTTGATTGTTTTGAGGATAGTTGATGGTGATGAAAAGCCAGCCATGCCTGAGCTTTCTTTGGCTATGAATCACGCGAAGAAGAAAATAACTGAATCTTTTACGAACAATAACAAAACAAGGTTGTTGGCCAAGTTGATGGAAATAATTGAGGATCGATGGAGCGATCAAATGGAGGTGAAGTTATATGGGGTTGTACTATTTCTAAATTCTTCAAAATATTTTGAATTGAAGAGGAGTGATCGCATATTTGCTCGTAAGCAACGTCAGCTGTTTAATATTGTTCTTGAAAAATGGTTAAAGATGAAGAGTTGATGGATAAGATTAGTGGTCAAGCAGATGATTACGATAAAATGTGAGGAAGCTTTGGCCGTCAATTGACAATAACACATTGAATGCAAAAGAGTCCTCGTAAGTTTATTTAACATATATATATATTTATTTTTTATGAAACTTAATTTTAAATATTGAATATATTCCAATTGCTTTTCCGCCGGTTGTGAGCGCAATTGGAGCACATTTGAATTTGTAAGTAAATTTATTCGAAATTTACTTATATTAATATTTTTGTAATAATCTTCAAATTTTGATATGAAATTTTATTTCTATATTCATACCAAGAAAAGAAACAGACTAGAGCACCAAAGGCTAAGTGATTTGGTGTATGTTCGATATAATCAGAAAATTGCACATTGCTTTCAAAAGCGGCAGGAAGAAAGAAACAATTTTAATCCCTTAATTCTTGAAGAATTTCAATGGGACAATGAATAAATTGATGATTCTAGAGATTTGGTTCATGAAGATAGAGATCTTGAGTGGCATCATGTTGATGAAGCCATAGGTGCTTTAAGTAATCTCAATAGTTCCGACCTTCGTAGTAAAGGTGTTGGTGAATTTTCAGGTCTGCCCATCGTGTATGATTGTTGCCATGGCCCTTCTAACAGACGTTTGAAAAATGAGGATGAAGAAAATGACGAAGATGATGATATGAACAGTGAAGACTAATGTGAATTTGAGAAATTGAGGGCTTTTTTTTTTTGGTGTTTTGGAACTTTCATATATCGACATATTGATATTTTAGTATTTTGATGGTTATGTTTGGTGTTTTGATGGTTTTGTTTGGTATTTTGATATTTTATTTGAAATTTAGTGATTTGATGTTATAATTTTATATTGCATAATTAAATATTAGAAACTTATAATAAGCATGTTGCCGTATCGCTATATTGTCGCAATTTTGGGTGCCGTGTCGCCTAGGCGACATGGCAGTCTAATGGCGCCCTGCCTAAATACTCGCCGTAACAACCTTGGCAAGCACACTTAACAGAGTTCTTTCAGTAAAGTTCTCGAAAAGAAATGTGCACATTATTCACATTAATAGTTTATTCAATTCATTTAATCTTTAACTAATTTTGAATGACCTGACACCGGCTCATTCACAGTAATTGGATATATGCTATTTTATATATATATATATATAAATATGTACTTATTGGGTCAAATCAATATCATCGAACCAAAGCGATTACTCTTATACGTAAAAATTAGATTCTAAATTAGTTATATTTTACTAATTCATTAAAATATCAAATCATTGTATCAGAAATATTTGATTTAAATTTCATATTTGAATAATGTTGATGTTTTTTTTTTTTTTTTTTTTTTAACAAAAAACATATATTTTTTAAAAAGAAAAATACAGAGTTGAAATTATAAAAATTGGAAAACTTTTATTTCTATTTAAATTGTTTTGATTTGAAATTATTGATTTTAACTCCTAAACCTAATCTATTTATTACTTTTTTTTATAAAAAAATTAAAATAAAGAAAAAATACACTAATTTTTCTTGTTTGTATGTCATAAAGACTATTTATTTTTTTAGCAAATAATTATACTGTTTTTAACTTTTATTTTTTACTATAAAAGTTAAAAATTATACATTATATAAAAGTTCTTGTCAAAATTAAATAAGTTTATTTTTACATTAAGGAGGGATTATAATTTTATATATAAAATATGAGTATATTATATATATGTTAAAAAAAAAAAAAAAACTAGCAATTTACATTTGAAAGTTGAAATTTGTTGATATGAAATTATATAAAATTAAAAGAAATATTGCTATTAGTGCTAATAAGTGATGCCGTTTTTATAGCCCAACAACTCGGGGGCAAATTTATTATATGTTTTTTTTTTTTTATTCTTCTATTATTAATTTCAATTATATATTTTTGAACTGTTAATTTTTGACATTTTATTTGAATCATAGTTTGGGTTTGTTGATGTATTTTTTCAATAAGCAAAAAGTAAAATTCAAAGATACAGAAATATCCTTAAATTTGATTAATTAGTGCCTGAAATTAAAAATCTCTAAACATTGTACGGTACATAAGAAAATTAACTGAAAATTAAAATGCTGGAAATTTAAACTGGTGATCCCCAAATCTGACTTTGCTTTTGTTGAAGTTGATTGAAGATGATTTGCCAGTTGCAAATTTTTATCCTTAAATACTCTTCAGAAACGGTACTGGAAATCGTCGCCCGAACGATTACAATGCCTCTTTTTCAACCGACTGCTAACCCTTCTCCTGCTGACATGTGCCCTCAACCGACCAAAATACCATTCTCGCTCACTCGCAACAATATCCGACTCTCTGGACCGACCGCAGACCTTCCGCCCTTCTGGCCCGACCGCAAATCTTCCGTCTTGTTGGTCCGACTGCAAACCTCCCGACTTGCAGATCACCCCACTTGTTTGGTCCAGCCGCATACCTCCCGACTTACAGACCATCCGACTTGTTGGTCCAACCGCATACCTCCCGACTGACAGACCATCCGACTTGTTTGGTCCAGCCGCAAACCTCCCGACTTATAGACCAACCGACCTGCAGACTTTCCGACCTGTGGACCACCGGACTTGGAGACCATCGGACCTGCGAACCTTCCGACTTGCGGACCATCCGACCTGCGGACCACCCGACCTGCGGACCTTCCGACCTGCGGACCATTCGACCTGCGGACCTTCCGACCTGTGGACCTTCCATTTTGCGGACTTTCCGACCTGCGGACCTTCCGACCTACAAACCCTTCCGTTCTGCGGACCTTCCTTCTTGCGGACTTTCCGACCTGTGGACCTTCCGATCTGCGGACCTTCCGTCTTGCGGACTTTCCAACCTACGAACCCTTCCGTCCTGCGGACCTTCCGTCTTGCGGATTTTCCGACCTGTGGACCTTCCGACCTGCGGACCTTCCGTCTTGCGGACTTTCCGACCTACGAACCCTTCCGTCCTGCGGACCTTAGAAACATGTCTATTTCACCCAATTTTCTCACACTACCCCTCGATCAATCCAACCAACCCAATCATTGGCCCATGTTCTCCTTGTAACTTGGGCTTTTTGACCTAATCATAATTTTCATACGTAACAACTTGCCCACTGCCAAGGGACTTCCAAACGCCATTTCTCAATCGCCGTTTGGAAGTTTAAAAATCAAAACCCTACTGAGAAATCGCCTCTGCAACTCCATCAATTACCGCAACATACCTGATTCCACTAAACTCTCCCTTCTTCAATACTAGCCTTTGTGAATCACAATCTATACAACTCTAAACCATGGCGAATCGATACATCCCTGCACTTCCCTTTGACGGATCAATCCCTGACACCACTCTTGTGTCGACGAAAATGCGCACTCCAACTGTTCGTCCATATTGCACAACTGCTGAAGACTCCAACCGAATGAGAGAAGTCTTGGAAGCCCGAACCCTACTAGCTGTCAACAACCCTGACTGCAATGCGGTCCGCCTCCATGACAACATCAAAACTCATTTGACGGACCCCAAGGATCCATACTGCGCCTGGTACCAACGAGTAGCAGAGCATTTTCAGGATCAATGGAAAAGTCAACAAATCGATCAGGCCATACGTCTGTCTACTCTCCCATGTCATCTACATGAGAAAGTCCTTCTAGCAATGATGGCGTTTTGGCACCCTGAGATTTGCACCTTCTTTCTTCCAACAGCCCCTATTGGCCCCACACTCCTGGACGTGGCCATGATCGCTCATCTACCCATTGTGGGAGAAGACCCTATAATGGGTGCCTTAGATGGGCAAGAGACCAATGCAGACCATTTGGGTTGGTCTCTGACGGACGTGAAGGAATGGGGCTTGACTAAATTTCTAATCGACCACCAAGGAGCAGACGGGACCCCTGTAATCGACCGAGAACACACAGCCTTCCTGCTCTTTTGGCTCTGTAAGTATATTGTAGTTTCCCCTTCTAAATGTGTCCCCCTTCTCACCTTGATCTTGCTATACACATAGCTTCGGGTCGTTTCTTTTCATTAGACACCCTTTTCATTGCCAATCTTTTTGAAGGGCTATCCAGGGTTAGCACCCGTATTACAGAAAAAGATGGTAAAAAATTAGACACTGCTGCATGAGGCCCCTTTTGGTTTTTAAAACTTTGGTTCCATCTCTATTTTCCCAACGCTTTCCAACTCGGTCATCCTCCCATTGCCCCCACACTTGAGAAGTCTCTAGGAGTAGCTCTTAACCGACTTTGCTTAGGTTGTAATAACCTCCAAGCGTCTGATCCGATCATAACTGCCATTCTTACTGATAATCGAAATGATACCCATTTCTACATACATAAAAGGTATATTGGTTATGCATCCGGCCTGTTTTGGCCATTCCCTGTTCCGTCACCTTTGTCTGGACCAGACCCATTTCCACATCCGACTTACTCTTTCTCCTGGGATGTTGCTCTTAAGCCCAGGTCTTTATTCGCTAGTAAGAAAATTGATAAAAAGGGTCCCAAAGTTTTTTATACATTCAGCTACTAGCCTTAATTCTTGGCCCATGAATTCGGATGCCAACAAGGCTTACCTAGTCCCATTGCTCATCCACATTTAATAATTCAAAGTCCGGATGGGAGAGCCATTCCTAATTCGATTGCCCCATACATATCCCAACTCACAAATTACATAACTTTCAACTCTTACATTCCTTACAAATCTTCTCCAACTTCAGTTGAATCCTTTCGCGAGTGGTGGTCGGTTACTTGGGCCTTGATTGCTCCTGACAAAGATCGCTTACTGGGCATTCTTCTTCCCCCACCTGCGTTAACATTAGGGGCGACCCTTCTGACCAACAACCGAAGGAACTTGATTACTCAAGGCACTGGGTCAGGCACTCCTCATAGGAAAAGAAGAGCTCCTCAGACTCAAGCTATTCCCTCTTCTGGAAACGATAAACAGCCTTTGAGAGACCACTCATCAGGTCGGGCACCTGCAAGGACCCGACCTCGTCCAGGTATTTTTCCAATAATCCTAATTCAATACAAATTTTGTACTTAGCATTTTATTAACCATCATTCTGATATACAGGTCAGACTTCGGCCAGAGCGTCCGCCCAAACTATTCCAATTCCAAATAAACCAACAAAGCCACCAACCGACCAACTCTATGAACTGGAACCCCCGACCAAACGACGGGCCCCAGTGAGAGCATCTTCACCAGCTGAACCAGCAACAACAAGGGTTCCATCGAACAGTGATACGACTGCTTCTGCTGCGGTCGCCTCAAAAGACAAAACTATCCCTGAGGCGGCCGTTCGTGATGCTCTCGCTGAACTTGTTGCAGCAGCCCCAAATGCACCCGACCAAAGGGTAGCAGACTTGGGAGCAGCAGACCTGAGAGTAGCAGACCAGAGGGCAGCTGACCTGGGGGTTGCCGACGTGAGAGTGGCAGACCCAAGGGCAGCGGGTCCTCTACCAGAAATAAACAGACACGAGGAAGAACTCGTAGCTGCTCCACCGAGAGGCTTTTTACAAGAATTACAAGAGATTCATTCCTCCAACTCAGAGACTTCTGTTAATCTGGTAACCACTTGAGATTGTTCCTTCCAAACTACAAGCTAGTGTTAACATGATTTTTAACACACTATATCTCCATCATTCAGGGACCCAGATCCATACCACAACGCCCACTTGAAGTAGCCGACG